AAGAAAAAGGAAAACAGAGTACATAGAAAATCAGAAGAGCTAGAGCCCATTCTCATATCTCAACCAAAACTGCCTTTGATTTTATTTTTTATTTTGTAATCATAACTGTTTTTGAATTTACCACCTAACGGACATCAAACCCATATGCAGCATAAAAAAATCTCAGTTGACAGAAAAAAATAAATAATTCCCAATAAAAAGTGAAAACAATTACCATAAAGAACAGTACACTCCTAAAAACACAAGATAATAAACCATTAAATCCACACTCCATATTATTCGACCCAGTGCACTTCTTTCTCGATAGATTTTTTCCCGAGAAAGTCATGACAATCCCAGACCTCAGCAAACGGCATTCAAGCAAGAAATCAAACAATTCAAGCATTTCATACTGGGAAAATTTAATTGCAATATATATATATATATATAGTACAAGCAAAGTCAAACAAATCCCATTAATATGATTACGTGAATACAAAGTGTAAAAGCAGAACAACAATTGTGTACCTAAATTAGAATCAAATTGATTGATAAACACTTTCAAATCAAATAATATACGCAGGAATTTTCAAATTAGAAGTGAAGGAATTACCTTTACGAGGGGTAAGAATATTGAAAGGAATTGAAATTAGGGTTCGAGAGAAGAGAGAGATGGTGTGTGTAATTAAAGGTGTTTGGTTGGGAAGAAAGTAGGAATTGTGAGTGGTGAGAAATTGAGGGACATTTCAGCAAATCGCCGTACGCAGCTTTCCGTGACTATTGCTTTGTTTTTGCTACTTACACACACACACACAAATGAAAAACAATTAGACAAAATTATATATTTTTTCAATTTTTTTGTTTTTTTTAATTATCTATTTTCTAATGTGATAAAAATAAATTTCAAGGTAAATTATACTTAGTCTTCTTTAAGTTTGAAAAAAATATAATAAATCTCACAATTTTATAATAATCATACTGATTTTTTTTTTTAAAATTTAATTCATATAATGCTCGGTCCATTTTTCATGAATAGCTTATTAATTATATGAATGAAAAATAATATTATCATATTTTATGCTTATATTACGTTATTTATCTTTATATTTTCACAATATTTACATTAATTTAGGTCCATTTAATTTTACTAAAAAGGAAATTAATATAATTATATCAAAATTATAAAAACTACAGCTTTTTTTCAAATATGAAAAGAGATTAGTATAATGTATCCTGAATTTTACTATTTTTAAATTGAAATAAAATAATACAAAATTTGACTATAAGTAATATTGGAGAGAGGTTCAACAATTCTGATAATGATAACCCTTAAGACTGTGAGAACTTTTACTTTACAAAGTTGAGATGTTTCTAGCCCAAAAATAAATAAATAAAAATTTATGATTTTAATTATTAAAATTTATTATTAATTTGTGTGCTTTTTTTTATTATAAAAATACATTAGTTTGTTATTTTCCCTTTTATATAATACTACTCATATCATTTAATAGATCTCACATTTTATTCAAAAAGTTCTAACACTATTATTATGTGAGATTCAATAAATAATATAAAACATCAAATATTAAAATATAATCTTAAGAAGTAGGCCTAGTGGGCATAATTTGGAGAGTGAGGGTATACCCTCTATAGTGACTTTAAATGGGACCTTATAAAAAATAAATTTAATATTAAAATGTCCAAATATAAGTTAGTCACCTATCATTACTTAAATGGAAAATGAATAATAAATAAAATCATTTTTAAAATGACTTTTGTTGGACTTGAAGCTCCAAGTTGCAAAAAACAAAAATGACTTTTGTTGGACTTTGTCAATTTTTATGTTTAAACAAAATCCTCCCTTCAATTTTCTAATAATTATAATAAGGAATATAATGTATAAGTTGATTTTAGTACGCATTGGAAGTAGCTCATTTACTCAAGTTTAGGCATAATATTTTACCAAACTACGCCAAAATAAAACCCAAAATAAAAAATAAAAAATAAAAAAATTTAAGCAGAATACCCAAATCGAAACCCCCCTAAAAAAAAAGATAGCGAAAAACGGCAAATCAAAACAAAAAATAAGAGAAAAATAAAAAACAAATAAAAAAAAAAACAACATTGGTGGACCGTGTGGGAAGCTGCCGTGGATGCCAAAATCTTTGAATTACAGGTACATGTGGATCAAGGGCACTTTGGTAAATTAATAGGAGGCCACCTCACCAAAAAGTCAAAAAGCCAAAAAAGTCAAAAAACCCTTTCCAAACCAGGCTTTTTAGCCCCAGACTAAAATAACCAAAAAAACCAAAAAATCAAAAAGTCAACCCACTTCCCAAACGGAGGCTTACTCAAGTTTAGGCATGAAAAAAGAATAATGACAACACATTGCTTGGGTCATTCTATCATTGCGTAATGCTATGTTTTGTAAGAGAAAAATGAGGAGAAAGAGAAGGTAATTTCTTAAAAAAATTCTCATTGACTTTTAAAAAGAGAATGAAAAGGAAAAGTGGAGGAAAATACTAATATTTAAGCAAGCTTTATTTATTGTATTTACTTTCATTTGTCTAGGGGGGAAAAAATCTAATTTTATTATCCTTTTCTTCATTTTTTAATTTTTTTATCATAAAAGTTATAATGCATTTCTTGTTACAAAAAATAAGATTTTAACTATCAAATAAAAATAATTAAAAAAAATACGGGTAAATTACAAATGATACTCCTTTTAATAGATGCACTATTCACGTTCTAAAAATTACTTTAGTTTCACTTAGATTTAAAATCAAATGACAAATTACACCTTCCATTACTTAACTGTGAAGTTAGCTAACAATTTCTGTTGACCCCAGCAATTAAAAATTTTAAAAAGCAAAATTTTAAACCTACTTTGAGTCAAGTCAATGAGTCAAGATTTTTTTTATACAATTCACCACACCACCTCACCTCGAATTTCATGACACACGTATTGGTACATATAAATTTAAAAAGAAAAGAGAAAAAAAAAAGACTGAATTTTTTTATAATGAACATCTCATTTTGTGATCTAATTATGACTATAATCAAATTGGATGTGTATTATATACATCAATTATCACGTTTGTGATGTATCAAAGTTTTGTGTAACGCCCTACCACTTATTTGTCTACTAATATGATCAAAAAATTTAAGCTTAAGTTGCTTAATACAAGTTAGTGGTGCCTTGTATAATTAAAAAGTGGCTTAAGAATAGACATAATATTTGGTATCAACATAAGAATGTTATTATAGAGATTTGCCTATTTAAAGTTAACATTATTCTAAATATATCAGTCATATTTGTTTTCACACCCACATCACTCCTTAAGATTATATTTAGAATATATATATATATATATATTGTTTGAACAACAAAAAAACAGCCATTTATTGATGATAATTGCCATACATACATATGAATTACATCAAATAAAGGAAGAGAAAGTGCAAAAAGTATCAAAGCATAACCGCACGATCTCAACTAGGTTGGCACGCAAAAAATCTCAAATAAACAAAAATAAAATAAATATATATATTTATAAGAACCCTCAAATAAAAAAATAAAAAATAAAAAATTAAGTGTTAACGTGTTTTCTTGAAACGCATTAAGCATAAGGTATTAACGTGTATAGGAAATTGAACAAGGAGTTTACTAAATCAACTCTGCTAGGAAAAGCTTTCTATTTTTCTTGAAATCCAACTCTACTAGGAAAAAACTACTACTCTACTATATGTACAAACATTCACACATTACTCTTGTATGTGAGGGTTCGAGAATGTCATTCGAAAATTTGAAGGCTTGTCAAAAAATTTGAAGATCGTTGGAAAATTTAAATTCTCTAAAAATGATGGGAGGCTTAAATTCTTCAACAGCTGTAACTAAAAACACAATAGTAAAGAGATGATAGAGATAAGAGATTAGGTGAAGAAGAAAGCAAAGTAATTAAAGAGAAAATAATGGTAAGGCTCTTCCATGAATCTCCCACTTTCACTCTCAAGGTAGATAATGGAGAAGGGAAATTAGTTTTTTTCCAAAAATTGTTTCTCCAAAATATATCCCTTGTAAAACTATAGGTAGGCACCTCATGATATAGGATGGAGCCCATGTGCAAGACACATAGGTAATATTTTCTCTAACGATTTTGTCCGAGGAGGTGACTTCTCCGAGGATGAAAAAAATCTTGAAGAAGAGATCAATCTCTCGACGAACCTTTCTTCTTAGCAACGCTTAACTAATGATCCCCAATCATTCCAAAGGGTCAGGGGTAGTCTCAGAGGACGCCTTGCCGCAGAAGGGTCAAGAGTAGTTCAAGAGAACGTCATGCCGCAAACATTATTGAGTCTCAAGGACCTTTAGATCGTGCCACCTTGACTCGGGTATAAGCTCGTTTAACTGAATAGTGAATTTATCTCCATTCACTGTCCTCAGGATCGGGTCCTTTGTTTGGACTCCGTTGATCCCGAAAAGCTTCAAACTTGCAAGTGTTCTAGGACTCATTAACGGAACGACTTCTAGATTGTGTTCGAATCCATTCGAAGCCAAGCGCTTCGAATTCCAGGTTCATAAATCCGAATCTGTAGGTTCATAGATCCGAACCCTTTCGAGTCTGAGCTCGAATAGGTCTAGGTCTTTAGGTTCGTGGTTCTGAGCTATTTCGAGAATAAGAAAATACCTCAGAGAATGGATCTCCTATGAGAGTTTCATCTCTTCTGAAGCAATGATCAACCTCTTCGGACGCTCATATGATATGGGCCTCCTCAAATGGGTTTGTTGAACTTTCTCTAGAGATATAAGTCTAATAAGTATTTCTTGGACCAATTTGTTGACTTTCTTGTAGACCCATTCAATAGAATTCACTTGGCCCCATTTGGCGATAATTCCTCCGGACCCATTAATTTTTAGACTTTTCGATTGGGCTCCAATTGGACCCAATTAATTTAATGGGTTCAAGTTAACCCCTCTTACAATTCTCTACATAAAAAATTTGTAAATCCAAAAATTTATAATGTCTCGTTTAGAAAAACATTTGATTATTCGTGATGTTTGGGCTGATAACTTGAGTTTTGAGTTTGGTTTGATTCGTCGAGTTCTTGATGATTATCCAAACGTGGGAATGGACATTGAATTTCCAAGGACGATTATCTTTTCCGACAAGCATTTCTCTTGTCTGTCACCTTCTGACAACTATTTCCTCATGAAGTCGAATGTGGACACATTAAACCTCATACAAGTGGGTCTCACTCTGTCGGACAATCAAGGCAACCATCCCGACTTGTACACAGACAGTTGTTACGTGTGGCAATTCAATTTCTGAGACTTTGACATCAAGTCCAATGATCTTCGTAATGTGGATTCGATCAAGCCGTTAAAGCAACAAGGAATTGATTTCAAGAGAAATAGAGAAGAGGGAATCGATTCGAGGGAGTTTGCGAAGATGCTTTTGTGGTCGGGACTGGTTTACAAAAGGTCGTTGAAGAGACGGGTGACTTTCCACAGTGAATATGATTTCGGGTTTTTGATAAAGATGTTGACGCACAGAGAGTTGCCTGAGAACCTCGAAACTTTCATGGCTATGGTGCATTTTTACTTTGGTGGGAGTGTGTATGATATAAAGCACTTGATAAGGGATTGCAATGGATTGAACGGTGGGTTGGAGAGGGTGGCTAAGGCACTCGGTATTGATCGTGTGGCTGGGAAAAGCCATCAAGTTGGATCAGATAGCTTGCTTACCATGCAAACATTCTTGAAGCTTCTGAAGGTGGTAGAAACGTCCTTTATTAATTGACTAATCCAAGGAGAAGAAGAAGGAGTTGGTAGATCTGATTGTCGACTTCGCTTTGTGTTGTATGGATTGGAGACTAATTTCGAGTATACTTATTTTTGTATACTTCTTTTAACTTGGTACAAGAGCAAATTTGCTATTTTCCTATACCAAGTTACTAAATTTTATTTGATCAATTAAATGTAGGTTGTGTTCGGAATATTATCTGAATATTAACAATTAGTTATGATTCAATTAAAGAATTTAGGTATGCTATGTCCCATAAAATTAAGTGTTGTGATTGGCCATAAGCTTTCTGTTGGCCAGTGCTATGTTTTTTTTTTTTTTTTAACAGAGGAAATCGATATAACGAGAACTAAGAAGAAAAAAAGAACATAACTTGTGGAGAATAAGGTTTGGACACCCAATCTAATGGGAGCTGGTCATGAAGGCATGCATGTGCTACCCAATGCGCCACTTTGTTCGAGGCCCTGGACTGCCACTGAAACAAGAACCGACCTTGGGTTGCCAAAAGCTTGATGTCGCTAAGGATTGCTTCACATTCCCATGGTGGAACCGTTTCGATAGCACAAAGATGAATCACGGCTTTGTTATCCTCTTCAACATGAACATCCAACAGATTGAGCCGATGAGCAAGAAGTCAAGAAAAACGACAAGCCAGAGCCTCTCCTTGGAAAGGAGAGGAGATACAAATCTTCTTGGTAAAGTCGTTCACCAGTTTACCATTCGTATCCCGGAGCACCGCCGTAACTGCTACTTGAGAGGAGCCTATTTGAACTGCCACATCACAATTAACTTTATAAAACCCAGGGGCAGGAGGCTCTCATCTAGCTGGCACAGCAGAGGTCTATGGGGGTTGCCGAAGGGGACCTGCTACTCGAAGGAAGTCCACCTCTTTGAATTTGGCCATAGCCACTCTAGCTCGATGTAACGTCGAGGAGGGCTCAATAGGGAGATGATTGAAAATAAAATTGTTGCGTTCCTTCCAAATATACGAGCCAATCCATGCCACCTTACTGAAGAAAGAGTTATATTCCGCATCAGTCCCAAAAATGTCCATCAGATCACTAGACCACTGCTGCACTTAGTGAATCGCACCCCAATCAACTCGATAGTTCAAACTACTGCCAAACCAAACTGGACGAACCCATTCACATCCGAAGAGAAGATGTTCCACTGTTTTTGGGGCCTCATGACAGAGTAGGCAAGTTGGAGAAGAGGCATACTTTCTCCGAAACATATTCTCTCTCGATGCAAGCACATTGCGGCATATTCTCCACCAAAAGTGGCGAATTTTTGGAGGGACCTGTAATCTCCAAATTTGCTTCCAAAATGAGCTCGGGACTTGAAATGAAGATGAAGGAGTTTGACTGGCAGACCCAGACTTTCTAGTCATGGCAACATGATACCCGGATTTCATAGAGTAATGGCCTTTTGATTCAAACTGCCAAATAAGAGAGTCAACAGTAAGAGCGAGCAAAATAGGGATAGAGCTAATTGCTTGAGCTTCAGCCTTCGACACTAGAGTGGCCAAGAGAGGCAAATTCCAGCTTTTCCGGATTGGATCAATAACATCCTCTACTTTAAGTACTTCAGTTCCATCAGGTTTTAAGAAGGAGATTTTGAAATTTGGAAGACCAGGAACCCAACAATCCTCCCAAAACAGAGCACTGGAGCCGCTATGAATTTGCCACCTCAATCCTTGTTGTAAGAGTTGGTGCGCTTGAAGAATACTGGCCCAGCCCCAAGAAGCCCTCCGACCTTTAGTGGAGTACATAAAGTCGATGTTGGGAAAATATATGCCTTTCAAGATGCAAGCACAAAACGAGTGAGGGTGTTTCACTAGGCGCCATCCCTGTTGGGCAAGTAAAGCCAAATTAAAGGCGTGAAAATCACGGAAACCAAGACCCCTTTGAAACTTTGAGAGAGCCAACTGACCCCAAGAGATCTAGTGAATGCCCTTATTATCTGGGTCCCCTCCCCACTAGAAATTGCTAATATAGGAATTGAGTTTCGTATAAAACTGTTTAAGGAGAGCAAAACAAGCCATGACATAGGATAGGATAGCTTGGACCACTGTTTTAATCAGAATTTCTTGTCCAGCGTGCAACAATAATTTTTGTTTCCATCGCTGGAGCTTGGAGATTACTTTCTTAATGATGAACTCAAAAGCTTCGGTTTTCGATTATCCCCAGAAGGAAGGCAAGCCCAAATACTTCGTGGTAGGAGAAGAGAGTTTTAAGCCAAAGAGAGCACAAATAGAATCACAGACAGCTATGGCAATATTTGGTGAAAACTGCACACTTAATTTACTAAAATTGACTACCTGACCCGAAGCCCTGCAATACACCGCCAATAGATCCAAAAAATTTTGACATTCCGTGTCCTCAGCTTTCAAGAATAATAACATATCATCAGCAAAGAACAAGTGCGATAGAGTAAGGCAAAGCCTTGTGATCTTAAAACTAGAAATCTCTCTATTTCGCAGGCTCTGAGTGATAAGCTTGGACAAAACATTAGCCATTATGATAAAAAGGTAGGGGAAGAGAGGATCGCCTTGGCAGAGGCCCCGAGAAGGGACAAAAGAGGCCATTTTCTCACCATTTGCAAAGATAGAGAAGCGAACCAGGGAGACACACTCCATGACCCACTGGACCCATTTAGAGTCAAAACCCATTTTGCGTAGAACCATGGTCAGGAAATCCCATTCAATTTGGTCATAAGCATTATCAAAATCGAGCTTGATAGCCATTTGACCAATAGATCCGGACTTACGGAGTTTTAGCGAATGGAAAGCTTCGTGGGCCACGAGGACATTATCATGGATCAGCCTCCCAGATACCAAAGCAGACTGATTTAGAGAAATCAAAAGGTTCAAAATTCCTTTGAGCCGATTGGCAAGGAGTTTTGTGATGATCTTGAGAATGAAGTTACACAAACTAATAGGACAAAATTGTGACAAAACACAAGGGTTACTGACCTTAGGAATCAAGACCAAATTTGTGTGATTAAGTTCTCGGAGTAGAAAACCACCATTGAAGAAACACCGCACCATTTCATAAACACTCCCCCTACTTCATCCCAATAATGCTGGTAGAAGAAACCAGGGAAACCGTCAGGCCCTAGGGCTTTGAAAGCTCCCAATTGAAAGGCTGCCAATTTGATTTCCTCGTCACAAACTGGATGAGTCAGGTCATGGTTCATAGCTGTAGAAACAACAGGCTCTACTATAGACAGAGCTTCAGAACAGTCCCGACTACCAATGCTAGTGAACAGAGATGAGAAGTAGCCTAAGAAGTGTTGATTGATTTCTAAATCTGAACCCAACCAAAGCCCTGTTTCATCTTGTAAATGAAGAATTTGGTTCCTTTGACGACGTTGAATCAATGAGGCATGAAAAAAGCTCGAATTCCTGCCCCAAATTTGAGCCAGCTCACGCGTGATCTCTAATGAAGGAACATCTCTTCCTTAGATAACATAAGCTCAAGCTCAGATTTGAACTGGGCTTGGAGTTGCAAATTCTCATCAGACCAAGACTGGGCTTGAAGGATGGCTAATTGTGATTTAAGCTGAGCTATTTGGATTTTATTATTGCCAAAATGGTCCTTACTCCACAATTTCAGTCCATCCCGACAAGCTTTGAGCTGCTTTGCCAGCTTATACATCGGGGATCCCACAAAGTGACCTCCCCACTGTTGGCGAATGATGTCCACACAATCTGGGCGAGTTGACCATATGGTCTCAAATTTGAACAACCGCGAAACTCTTTTAAGTGGAAGGTTGTAATTTAGAATTAAAGGGCAATGGTCAGACCCAACCTGAATCTCATGGAAAACCTGGGCACATGGATATAAAGTACTCCAATCCACTGTTGCAACTGCTCAGTCAAGTTGTTCCCGAATGTTAAGGGTATCGCGTTGGTTATTTGACCAAGTAAACGGGGAACCATTGAACTCCAAATCCATGAGAGCACAATCCGAAAACAGTTCAAAGAAAGAGTGGATTTGACTCATTCGACAAGCTGCACCCCTTCCTTTCTTGTATGAGCCCCAATCTCATTAAAATCACCTATACACAACCTAGGGTAGTGGCTCTCAGACATAACGGTTCGAAATCGAGCCTAGAAACTCGTCCGAACAGACCGCTGCGAAGAAGCATGAATGAAATTGGCAACCCAATAGACAGGGTTGTTGTGCGAGGTAATCAAGCCTCGAATCATATAATTAGATTTAAACCGAACGTTGAGAACAACGTCGTCAGTCCACCACACAGCCGAACCTCCTGAAACTCCCATAGGTTCAACATAAGACGAGTGGGAGAAGCGTAGGCGTTTGTGGAGGCTGTCCAAACTTGTTGATTTATTTTTCATTTCCATAAGAAACACCACTGTAGGATGATGGGTAGCTACCAACCCTCGGAGGATTTGGACTGTCAGGGTTTGCCCCAACCCCTGACAGTTCCAGCTGATGATCAGCATGAAGGGAATGGCTGTTGGGGGCCAGCCACCAAAGCCCATTTTGCCAAAGCATGACTATCAGTAGAGACTGAACTGGGTACTGGAGAGCAATTTCCAAGATCAGAGGGGAGGGAGCTATCTGGGGATAAATTAGGGAATGGCTTTTGTACCGACGACAAATTGGCCACCACTTCGACAGGAACCAAAATTGTTTTCCCCAACTTATCTCTATCCTGAACGAATCGCAAGCCTTTTCTCCCGGGATTAGGCCGAGTAGAAGAAGAATGTAGTAGAAAGGCGGGATGGAAGTCGAGAGTGTGAATCGGGACATTAGTTAGGGCACCTTTGAGCAATTTGGGGCTTTTCTCTTGGAGTTCGTCCTCCGCCGAAGCCTTGCGTTTGAGAGACAAATTGTTGAACACTATTGACATACACTCATCCCCAATTATAATTTTCAAATCCCTTCCTGGAATTTGGGCTAGTCTCCTTTATACTGATTGGGCTAGGAAAACATCTAGGAGGAGGCGAGTTGGGGCCTGAAACCAATCTGCAATCCACCGGTTCTGTAACAAAATAGGGGGGTCCAGAAGAAATAGAAGAGCCCAACACACTCGAAACAGAGCCCATAGCCTTAAGGCCCACTTGCTGCAATCCCAGTCTACTCTGACTTGGGGCCCCCAATGAGCCCAAAGAGTCTACAATGTCGTTACCCAAGTTCATAGATTGAGGGACATGGGTAGTTCTGTTGTCCCTGCCACGGCCCCTGACGTCCACGTCTCCAGCTACGTAGATCGTACACTGCTCCAAGGATCGTGCACCACCACTCTGCTTTTGGCTCAGAATGGTACTAGTTGTACCCATCTCGCAAAACGCAGGCTCCTGCCTCGGCACCGGTTCGGGGGCAGGCCGGTGGGGCTGCAACTGGTGCAGGGATCTCCGCACCCGGTCTTCTAGCTCATCCACTTGCTTCTTGTAGTGCTCCATTGGCAAACTAGTGCTCCTAGCGATACCAGTTCTTAAGTCTAGGCCATAGCCAGACCTCTGCCCTTCTTCCCTCATGACAAACTTACAAACATTCTGATAATGACCAATTCGACCACAGTCAAAACAGAAATCAAAAAGCTTTTCTATCTTAAGTGAAACCCAGTGATACTGGGTGCCGCCCGGAGACTGTCCACTACTCTGAAGGTAGAAACCTCGAGGCAATGGTTTAGAGATGTCCAGTTCAACTTTGATGTGAAGAAAGTTCCGGTAAAGAAGAAGGCCCTCACAATAAGCCTCAACTCTGATAAGGCACCCTAATTTCCTAGCAATGGTCTCACTATTAGCCTTGGTCAGTTTTTCCAAAGGAAGCCCATGTACTTGAATCCAGAAGGGACACCAGGTAAACACCATGTCCGACACCAGGGTTCCTCTTCCCAATGGCTGGAGAATAAAGAGGTGACCCATGATGGACCAAGGAGCCTCGTTAAGAACCCACCGTCGATCCTTAGCATCATCAAAAGTGAATAAGAACAAGTTATCATTCCATGGAGCGATTGAGAAGGAGGCCCTTGCCTTCCAAGCGTCATGTAAAATGGAAGAAATAGCTTGCTTGTTGAGCTGTTTGGGGGCCAGAACCTTACGTAGCAAACAACGATGGGAGACATCTTCAGTTACATCAAGCCCATCCTCAAGTTGAATGGAATCCAAAGTATTAGCCATCAAAGCCAAGTCTTCTTCCATGGCCAAACTCGTCTGCCAAATAGAGCGAAACCCTAGAGAGGAGATAAGGGAGAAGGAGAAAGACAGACAGAAAGAAAGGAGGAAAGGGTTTTGCGAAAAACAAAGAGGCTCGCGTTGGCTTTGTGAAAGGATAAAGAAAACAAGGAAAGGTGCAAACTGGGATGTCCCTAGAGAAAACTTGTCACGACCCATCCCAGTGACCAGGGCTGGATTCGTAACTAGCTAATTCTAAAATTTCTTAGATTAATTCAAAGTAATTAAATTAAATAATACAGGGGATTAAAATGAAAGATGTAGATAAATATCTGAAGCGTACATAGAAATTATTTTTTATGTAACGATGTAACATCAGGGTAAAAAAATGATATCCATATCAAATTTGAGGTTCTGATCCACAGGGTAAAACCATCGTTCTTTAAATTGCTTCACCTAAAATGGGTTTTAACAACTATAAGTACATGACAAAGTGAGAAATATTATACTGAGAGCATGGGGGTATAAAATCACCATGGACAATTATTTAGGCTAAACGATGAATAGTTTGGTTCGAATAAATTATTTTTAATAACAGACATATAACACAAAATCATATAAACAAAATAATTATAACCACGGTGCAGAACAGAACAGAGGGTCAATGGATCAATGACAGACAAAGGGTCACGAAGTGACTAATCAGAGGGCCAAAGGTTATTTAAGTCCCTCAAAGCATGAGACTGTCAGAGGGTCACTAAAGTGACAATTCAGAGGGCCAGTAATTATTTAAGTCCCCAAGGCATGAGACCTCCGTGGTGGTACTTATTCAAAACAAATGTTTATAAAATCATTGTCAAATATTTTCTAAAATTTAAACAAACTTATTTTTGGGCTTCAATTTAAACAAATAAAGTTTAGAAAATAATCCACATAATTGAAACATTAACATAACCATAAAACATAATTTATATAAAAGAAATTTGTGGTAACTCAAAACATTCATAAAATATATTATGATAACTCAAGACATATATAAAACGTATTATGATGGCTCAAGGTATAATATAACTCACCTTAATATAGATTTCTTCTACTTTTACGAGCCTTTCACCTCCGCCTATCTTACTTTACCACCTTCCTTACTATCACTGTTATTATTTATTTGTTTATTTTTTTTCCTTTTGCTCTCAGGTTGTGAGCTCAGATTCCTATTTATACCACATTTCCTACCATAGCTGCTTCAAATACCCTAGGAATAGACCTTCCACGTTGCTTGGGTAGATACATGTTGTTTGCTTATAGCAACGCCACCTCATCAGATTCTTATTCCCTAAGTAAATTCATTGATTCTAAGTAGATTCATTGATTGTTGAATATCTCATGCATCATTTTAGGCCTTATTATCTTATGGTCCATAAATCGCCGTAATTACATATTTCATTTTTTTTTTTTTTTGCAACACATAAGTATTCCTAATTTAGAGGTGGTTTCGGATGTCCTAAATAAGTGCACTTTTTAACTTTTTATAAAAAGATGTGTAAAAAAGTAGAGAGGTGATGTTGATTGATGTGATCCAAAAAAGATAAAAAGATGGACTAAAATAGGTTATGCCAAACAAGACTTTAAAATTAATTACATCTAAGCACATACAATTAAATATGTTATTATAATTATTATTTTTTATTCATTTATTATTATTATTATTATTATTATTATTATTATTATTACTTTACGCAGCATTGAATTAAATACTTGGGGTGTAACAAAACTACCCTGGGGCAGAGAACCTCCCATTATAGAGAGAAAATATTCGTCAATGACATTCGCGCACAACTTTTTCAATTTTGCGCAACTTTGTTCTCATCATGTTCTTGATTTTAGTTACAACTAAACCTCTTGAAGCTGCTGCAAGGCCTGTTCATGGTAGAAAGGTCACAGTGGCTCACCGTGGTGGTGGTGGTGGTGGCGGCTCTGAGTCAGGCGGTGATTTTCCATCTTTGTGAGTCTGGCCACTGCTATGTTCTTATACCAAGCTTTCTATCTGTAA